TTATTTTGCAATTCTAGGCGGTGTACCTGACTACTCTTCTGTTCAGACTTAAAATCATAAATTTTTCATAGAACCAAGTTAATTTTCACTCCTATGAAAATCGACAAAAATTTCATTGGGCCCATCTCCCAATGGAAATCTTTATCATATTAGTATCCAAAATAACATTAATGTCATAATTTAAAAACTTCCTGTATCAGTCAAACCTAAAAATTCTCCTTCACTGACTCGATAATCCAGTTTCTTTATTTATGACAACAAATCTCTTGCGAGTCTTTGAATACAACAGCATTTCACCTTCGCCAATGTTGAACCAAAGACCATAAAGCTGAACTGAACCTTCATCAAGTTTATTGCGTACAAATCCGTATGATCTAATATTCTGCATTTGTTGAAGAACGTTTACCTATTATACAAAGAAAAGGAATTAATAGAAATAAATGGTTGACTGATCAACTGATTTACTGAAATGACTGATTGACTGACTTACTCATACACTGACTGACTCACTGATTCACTACTCACTAACTCACTGCCAGCCAGACTGACTAACTGACCACCTGACTGACTAATTGTCTAACTCTGTTTGACTGACTGTCTGACTGACTGACTGATTGTCTGACTGACTGACTGACTGACTGATTGTCTGACTAACTGACTGATTGTGTGACTGACTTGCAAACTGATGGACTGGCGGTCTTGTAGGCTGACAGCCAGAATTGGATTGACTGATGGAAAAAGGATGAACAGACACATTGCAGATTAACAAACTAGTAGTCTGGCTGACTGATTGAGAACAGATTCACTGACTAGCTAACTGACTGACAGACTGACAGAGAGATTGACTGATAAGTAAATTGACTGAATGAATGTCACACCGACTGACCAATCAACTACCATCTGGCCAATTAACTGACCGACCAAACTAACCGACCCAATGACTATCTGACTGAGATCAACTGAATGACTGGTACACTTAGTGGTGACAAAAAAATAACATAGGTACCTGTGAAAGCTTATCGACATCAGATAGATCTTTTTCTTTATCAAACATAATCTCTAAGTTATCTTTCTCCTTAGAACTGCCATCTATAGGAAACCCAAGCTTCTCAAACTTTGTTAGTGATGACTGTGCATACCGTCTGAGCCAACCTGATACCCAAGAAGTTTCAGAATCTTGCTTCTTTTTGTCTGTGGTGTTATGCATGTGATAAAGGCAGTCCATTGCCTACAATATAGAGAATGTAAAATACTTTTCAATGGTGCTGAACAGACAGTTGAGGATTCAAATATATTTCCAACTTTTTTGTCCCAAAAATTTTCTTCATCCCTCCCACAGGGGGTATATTGGCACTTAAACTGTCCCTGCCCTTGACAAATCCAGTTTTGACCAACACCGGGTTCAGTCTCTAACTGTTGGTGTTTTGAAGCATCCTCAAAAAGGAGAATCTAGAGGATCATGGGTACACCAATACACCCATGGCTAGAGACTGGGCATGAGCTCATACTGGCCTTTCTAGATTTTTCTTTAAAATTGATACCCACACCTTCCCGATGGAATTTCCCAAAACACTCCTAAGGTGGGTGCAGGTCATAAATTGTTTTGTGTAGCTACCTTACAGTCTGAATGTCCACAAACTGTTATGTCTTTGACTCCTGTGGAAATTGCTAACTCCAAAGCTGCTCTTTCTGAAAGTGGACTTTGTTGGTTTTCTCCAAACAGCTGATTGTGTGGCACAACATTTCCTGCATTTCTCATAATAAACATATCACCAGGATCTGCTTGAGTAAAACTGGTAGGACACAAACGGCTGTCCATACAGGTTATTAGAAGCATGCGTGGCTAAAAGAGAGTGTAATAGGTAAAAAATGGAAATTAATCAAAATCTGTAATCGAACGTGTTAACCGTCACGATCTTTCGTTAGACTGCATATATTACAGAAAAACCTGCTGAAGTAAACATACCTGGGCTTTATGAGCGAGTTTTTCTAGTTGTGGCAGCAGAGAAGGTCGCACAAGACTTTTGAATTTTAGAACACCCTGTAACAGTTTCTCCATCTTCGAAAATCAATGAGAACGTCATAATCAGATCAACCGGTCGTGGTTAAACATGTCGAAATAAGATAGAACAAAACACAAACAAAGCCTCGTATTAATTTCCTAAGGATCAAACACCACATACCTTAAATTTCTGTGAAGACACCTATGAGGAAAAAACTATAAACAGTGAAGGTTTCAATTTTCTGTCGACCATAAACCTTGAAGATTCAGTCGCAGGTACCAGACAGTATAAAATGTGAAAGGCATTCAATATGGACCAAAAACTATTTCCAGTAGGAGTAGGGTTAGGAAGAGTTGGACTTAATCAAACAGGCGGAAATTTCTTCTCCAAATGACAACCCAAAGCCGGCTTATTTACTTAGTTTGGATCTAGTAGGTTTTAATACGTGCAGAATTGTCAGTTTATCTCAATGAATTGAAGAGTTAGGCGTCTCTTGAGCGTGTATTTTTATCAAAGTCACGCGGAGACAACCTCCGTGGGTGTGTGTTTGTACTCGTGTTTCACCCGTGGCTAGACGATCATACTTCGTGTTGTTCTGCCTGTCGAAATCAGCCGCCAAAACACTATTCGATATTCAGCATAGAATCATTTCTTTAAAATCCTGGGCTACTTGCTCGGCAAATATATTTCGAATATTGTCACGCACCCTTTTTAAGGGGACCTGTGCCGAATGTGCCTTTACTCACCGGCAGTGAGACCCACTCTCCCCACCTGTCTACTCTCCAGTTTATCACATGCTGCAAAAAGACGAATATGGCGGGCATTTCGAGTGGACAAATACTTCGCATTAAAGAGTTGATTCACCTGGGAGCAAGTTTGGATGGTAAATCTGTGAGGACATGGGGAAGGTAATTTTAGCAGAGTCTCTATTCTTGTTCCTTTGATTTCCGTTACTAAAAACAAGAAGGAGTTTGAAAATGCAAATCTGCCGTGTTTGCTTCACGTTCGTTTCGACTGCTACCGTAAAGTTTTCGTACACAAATTATGGTCTTGTAAATTTCTATCGAAACTTTTTCGGCAAATAATTTTTGGAAATGCATTTGAATTTCCTCCTTAAGTTTCTGTTTGTAAACAGAGTTAGCAAATTACAAATAGCTGAAGTTTCCGTGAGGGAGACGAACGGCTGTAAGTGGGAGGGAGGGGTGGGTATTTAGAACTCTTCCTTATATATGGATCTCAATTATTTGGACTTTTTAAGTGACATATTTCTGTATTAACTTACAGGGCACTGACACATAACATCGCAAGAAGTCAACTAAAAGTGTGCGATGAAGGCATTGAACTGAACATCGATACTTCATTTGTGGAACCAACGGCTTTTAACAGAGGATCTTTGTATCAATTTATAGGAGAAGTTTATGTCAGCGAAAACATTATTTTACGAGCAAGAATTGCTACTTGTATAGATGGAATGGACATGACTCTCTTTAATCAAGCTTTAGATATCAGGAGGAAATATTTGCAGGAAGATATAGCAACTGTCTCTTGAGAATATTACAAGCTTTTATAATCAATTTTCAGCCAGCCGCCAATTACAAATACCTATTGTTTCTTTGGCTTGGAAATCTTGGTTGATTAAAGAAGCGTTACTCCCAAATATTGTACTTAATAATACATTTGGCAAATCAGGGTTTAATGTTTTTAAGCTTTTTCTAGTATATAAGCTTACAAAAAATGTATTGGACAAAAAAAAGATTGAATTGTCCATCTTCTGTCCACTTTAGAACATTGCAAAACAGGGAACAGTGTGGCATGAAAATAAAATTGAGAGGTAAGAGGTCTCTCCACATAAGCCTAACTCTAACTCTCAGAAGTGATCAACATATAAGTTCTCTCTATATTATCCATACATTATCCAACATAGAGGTATTGAGAATACTCAAACTTATCAGGTAGAAGTAGTTGTCTTGATCTAAGACCAAATTCTTGTAACTAAGTTGAAAGGAAATGTAAGGCAGATAAAGGGGATAATTAGCAAACAGATCTTGGGAGTTAAAGGGTTAAAGAAGACTACGACACTGAAATGAAATATGAAATAAAGGAAGGGTCTTTTCAGAAAGTTTTCAAGAATTCCTGCTAAAAACCCTTTGATAAAGTTGCCTGAAAAAATCTGAGAAGTGACTTAACATAAAATATGACAATTATGGAGCTTAACCCTTGAATTTGCAGGAGTGACCGAGACAGAATTTCTCCTTACGATATCAGAACAACTTAAAGTGGGCAAGTGATGAGAATAAAGAAAAATATCAATTGTTGGATCATTTGTCATCCAATTCTAAATTCTCCAAACCAACATCATAATAATTGTATGGCAGACAGTAACAAGAATTACTAATGAGATATAGGGACCGAAAGGATTAAGTTGGTTTTAGGAAACAGTTTGTGGTGAATACATTTATATTTTCTAGTTTAGTTATCTAATAATGTAGTGTGATTTGTAAACCTTCTCAGTCTTTGTATTTTGCTGGTTAATGATTTTCCAGAGCTCCATATAAAAGTTTTGTTCGACATATTTCGCATCTTCTATATCTTTTACATCCATATAAATTATAATAATCATATTTTTAATTGTTCCACTTCTGTGAAATGCCGATAATTCAATTATCAACATCTTTATCGAACGCCAAATGCTGCACGTTCTAGTTTCGAAACCGATTTTTTGTTGTCACGTAATTTTCCTGCGTTGCGTGACGTATCAAAAATACATCTGCGAGCAGGACTGCTTCCTTCGGAATTGTTTTTGTGTAGCCAGGTGATAAATACAGACAAGAGGATGGCGCGTGAACAGAATTTAAACAGGAGATACGGGAGAACAGCTACAGAGGATTCATCGAATGATACCAGTGCTTTAAAACCATACATTTTGGTAGCAATCGCGGCAATTGCGTGTTACTTGAACTCCTTATTCGGCGAGTTTGTTTATGATGACTTCGAAGTCATCGAGACGAACGCAGATGTTAGGTAAGAGTTTGCCTGCAATTTTAATCTCGTTGTTTACCAAAAGTGATAACTTTACCTTCCGAGATAAAGGCACATTTCTAACTGGGTAAAAAGTGGTTAAAGAAAAACCTAGCTTCTCGTGCGGGGAAAACTTTTGATGGTGTTGAAAGCTGAACCGACAAAAAACATAGCTTTGTATCATACGGCTTAAATTAATTTCGCCTCCAGGCGCACTTTCCCACCATCTTAACTGAGCCATTCTTTTCGATAATCCCACCGTGTTTATTAAACCAGATTCTGTTGTGATAAAGAGGATTCATTTAGTTGTAAATTTTTTATTATGGATTTAATACTGCGCAGTCGATTCAAGAAAACCAGGTTGATATCCTTCTGCCGGGTATGTAAAAAGGGTTTCCTAACAAACAACTTTTGACACCATTAATTTGCGGTCACTCAATAGTATAACATAATATCAGATTGAGAGCGGTATGACGAAATTAGAACTATGTGAAATGCAAGGTTTCCACAAGTAACAGCAAGTCTACAAACTTGACGAGAAACGACTGCTTGCCCATGGCTTACGGAATAAAAATATGTCTATATCTACTTAGCATAATTTAACTTTGAGTTAAAGACCGCATGCAAAATTAATAATAACAAAATGAAATGCAAATTTTTGTCATGTAAGAAAGGAAATTAATCAAAGTTCATTTTTAGAAGAGAGTTTAGCAAGAAGTTCTGTGGTCGAATTCAGCTTTTAGCTCACAGAATAGAGCTGTGAAGCACTAAGCTCAGATGAGCTGTTTCCGAGATCAAACGGATGGGAAAATTTTGCCTTAAATTGACTAATCTGACATTACAAAAATAGATTTCCGACACAGAGGTTTCTAAATGACCTGTTAGGTCGAATTTCTTGTTTATCTTTCGGTAAGAGGCTTTAGGGTTCACTGAGAGTCACGAAATTGCGTAAAAATGCGAAAAAAATAAAGCAAGTAATTTGGCAAAAAACAGAAATGACTTAAATTTCACTATAACTGACTTTCAGTCGTCCATCGTCTTTGTTGTTGAAAAGTGTCGTTTTTGGGGAGAAATTTGGAAGACAAACACCTCGTAAACATTGTCATACTGACTTTCGAAAGCTGGTTCACAAATTCAGTCAACAGACTTCCTCTTCAAAACCATCTTTCAAGTGAAATTTCCTGCTCTCTGCAATTATGAAAAACAATACTGCCTTTCATGTCGTGTCAACGAGAAAAAAATACCAGTGAGATGTATTAATTTATCTGGAAGATGTCATTTTGACATACGCTTGAAAACGTATAGCCCCTCGCTTTCACCTTAATTCTGACTAGAGTAATTTTTTTCTTTGCAGGCCTTCAACGCCAATTTCTAACCTGTTTTCAAACGACTTTTGGGGCATTCCGTTAAAAAGAAACGATTCTCACAAATCTTATCGTCCCATAACTGTTTTGACATTCCGCTGGAATTTCCTCGCTGGAGGCCTCAATCCAATAGGATACCACTTCATCAATGTGGTTTTACATAGCATTGTGTCGGCGTTATTTTTTCATACATGCATTAGGATTTTAGATGGCAACGTTGATTCTAAAACTAAATCACTTCCTCTTCTTTGTGGTATGCTCTTTGCTCTTCATCCGATACATACAGAGGCTGTAGCTAATGTCGTGGGTCGTGCAGAAATCCTCTGTGCCTTGTTCTACCTCTTAGCCCTGTTGTCGTACATAAATTGTTTTCCTGATGGGACCACAGAGGACAGCAGTAAAAGACCAGCTAAGTATTCAAGGGTTTGGCTTGCTTCGTGCATCATCTGGTGTGTGTTATCTCTCTTTAGCAAAGAACAAGGCATCACAGTTTTAGAAGTTTGTATTGCTTACGATTTGGTTTTTGTCTGCAAGTTTAAAGGGGAACATTTACTCAAAATATTTTCTTCGCCTACGGTTTTATTAAGGTAAGAATCGAATCACAGTTTTGTAGGTTTTTAATACCAATGACTTCGTGTATCAATACGCATCCTTCAATCCAGTAAGATATAAAACGGATTTCATTTGTGACGTTTTTCCCGCACTTTGGCAATTTTCTTGTCTACTTTTGGTTATCTTTGTTACTTGGGATATTTACCTTTCCTCTGATTGTATGTTGGTTGTTACGGAAATGAAACGATATGCGCTCTAAAAGACTGTACTTATCGGGGTTAATTTTCCTTTACTTTCAGACAATGGCCAAAGTGGGCCGTTCGATTGGTCGAAAGATTTTCCATCCTCGGCTTGGCGTCTGTAATTCTTCTGTACCTGAGAATTGTAATCATCTCTGGAGGTTTTGTCCTTTCTTTCACTGAGTCCGACAATCCCACATTGTTTCATCCTGACGTATGGACTCGATTTAGGACTTACTCTTATTTGTGCGCGCTAAATGCGCGACTTCTACTGTGTCCGAACAGCCTGTGTTATGATTGGTCCATGGACAGCATATCCCGGATTGAATCATGGTGGGACATGCGCAATATGCAAACGCTCGTGTTCAGTGGTATACTTGTTTGTTTGTGCTGTTATGGTAAGAGAGATTCAACATGCGCTTCCTAGTGTTATTGAAACGTGCATTTCACTTTGTTTGAGCAGAGTATTTTTAGGAAAGTTAAATCTATTTCGCTTCATTTTGACGGTATTTTTTTCTTTTGCAAATTAACACGGATGAAATGTCTTCAAATATAGTTTAAGAGCTCTAGATTGATTGAGTTACTGGCCAGTGTTGACTTATAATTAAGATACAAAGAGAGAAAGTTTTTCTTCGCTCTTAACACAATAAGTTTTATTTTCCGTGTTCTCTTGCAGGTCTTCAGTCTTCAACTATACCGTCTTCTATACCGTCTTCAACTATATCGTCTTCAACTATACCGTCAACTCTACCTAGAAAGTCTAAGAAAAGTTCTTCAAAGCCACTAGATTCTAATGAAAATGATATTCATTTAAGAGATGATTTTAGGAATGCAGAGTCTCAGCATTGTGGACTGAAAATGGTGAGTAGAAACTGTCAGAAAGTATTGTCGGCTTTAAAAAAGTGCGGGAAAATTTAATCTCGAGGCCGCTTGCGCACGTGCGTGTCTCCTGATTGGTCAGTTTAATCAGAAGTCAACTGGATCCCTTTGCTTGTTTTGATTTTTTGCAGGATGAGTGCGAGTCTCCACAAAGAAGACGAGTTGTGATGTTTTCATTGGCTTTATTGATCATACCATTTCTACCAGCTTCTAATCTCTTCTTGCCCGTTGGGTTTGTTGTCGCCGAGAGAATTCTTTACATTCCCAGTATGGGACTCTGCATTTTGGTTCCATTTGGAATCTCAATCTTGTTTGGAACCCAAACAAAGGTGGAAGAAGATTCCTCAACACATGAGGTGAGCCCTGATTTCTGTTCAGAACAAGTTCTTTTCCTAAGGAGGGCCTGGAAACGAGGTTGATTCCGTGTCTGCAATCAGTCCGCGCAGCAAATCAGTTTGAAGGGGACAGCCACTAACTTAGTGCTCAAATCGCTTAAGATCTCTTAAGTACTTTTCTGCTAGAAACAAATGGAATCTCGATGTTTTCTTTTTCAACCCACGATTTTTGTTACAGTGTAGTAAAAATGCAGTTAATACCACAATATTCTTACCTTTCCGTTTTTAGAACTCTGATAAGATGTTAGTGCAAAAAACTTCACGTACAAGTTGGAGTTTTGGTCTTTCTGCCACTGGTATGGTTTTAGTTCACAGCCTTCTGTTGTTGTTCGCTGCAAAGACAGTACGCCGCAATTCAGAATGGCTGAACAAGGAAGCGCTGGCCCGATCAGGACTGAAAGTGAACCCCACTAACGCTAAGATTCACGTTATGCTTGGAAATGTTCTTGCAAAGAAGGTTTGAATGGAGATTTAGTGTTTTG